GATGACTTTCTTTTTAGATGATTTTTTTTTTCTCAAGATGTGTCTTGGGATATTAGCTTGTTATACAATATTGAGTTTATTTCCAGTTAGGAACCATAGTGTAACTTCCCTGCAGTTTTTTTGGTTATGATTAGTGAATTGGGCACAGTGCTTATCATATCAGAGTCAGAGAGATCCACTGTCTGTAAATCACTCAAAAGTGTGGACAGTTTGTTGAACACAGAGGAACATGCCTATAATCTCAATAGCTCAGGAGGCTGAGGCAGGAGGATCACAAGTTCAAAGCCAGCCTCAGCAACTTAGCAAGACCCTAAGCAACTTAGCAAGATCCTATCTCAAACAAAACATAACAGAAACAAAACAAAAAAAAAAAAGAAAAAAAATTAAAAAGGGCTTAGGGATGTGGCTAAGTGGTTGAGTGCCACTGGGTTAAATCTCCAGTATCAAAAAACAAAACAACAACAATAAAAAAAAAACAGTGTGGACATTCTGCATTTTGGCAGTTCAGGGAGGTGGGCTGTATACAGAGAGTGTATGATATGCACTCTGTGTAGCTACTTTTGCAATGGGAGTGGTGGTCCTTATTGGATGAGGGAGGCACTTTTGATATTGACTCTTTACTTGAGAGAGGTTGTAGTATTTGCTGTTCTAGTCATGGTAAAAGACCTGAAGCTTTGTCTCCTGATTAGATTCTGTTGTGGGTTGTGGTGTATATGGGTGGGGCAGGGTGGGGGAAGTAATCATGGCACTATTTCTGTGGCACTCAAAAGCCAGTCTCATTAGTAGTGAGTGATCAGACAAGGTGCAGGTGCAATGGATGGTGGGGACCCTCCTAGGTATGGTGGCAGCAGAAACTATTGTTCCTCTCTGCTGCTTCTGTGGTCACTGTGCCTGGCAGAAGGACCTCAAAACCCCCGAGGTGTGCATGACTGGGAATGGAAAAGTATCTGGGTTCCCCTTCTACCCAATCTCTCAATTATTTCAGTTGTAGTTCCCTAAGGGATTGAGCAGAAGGAGTGAGTTGAAGCTGGAGCGAAGAATAATTCCTCTCAGCTTAAGTGTTTGAGGAGTTAGCTAAAGAGGAACACAGCTTGCCCAAAGTCTCCCTGCATCCTTCTTAGTCTCTGTACTCCTGGGGCCTGGGCAACAGCTGGGACTGCAGCAGCATTGCTCCAGACAACCCCAGCATTTCTTTTTGGGTGGGGGAGCAGTTTCCCTGCCTCATTAGTAACTGGTATCTATGAATAGTGTTGAAAGAATGGTGACAAGAACCACATAAATAACTACCCTTAGTCCTGGCCCCTATGTTAAACCACACATGAGAGCTTGTACCCCTGGTCTCAGAGGGAAGGCTCCCCAATTCCCCAATTTTTGAGTGAGGTGCTCTCTGTTCCTTCCTGTGTCATCTAACAAAACCCTTCAGTGTAGTGCTCTCAGGGAATTTGTGACAGAGTCACTCTACTAACACCCGTTTGATTCATGAGATGGCTGCTGCTTAACCAGTGCAGTGGAGTGTCTGTGGGGTAAGTGCTGGGGTTTCTAACCTCTGGAGCAGTTCAAAATCAGGCATCAGGTATTTCTCAGAATGGCTCCTGGCTACAGTACCGTGGGAGTTCACTGGGGGATGAAGTGAATTCTTTCCCAAAGTCTAGGCAACTGTGTAGAATTCAGGTTTCTCATCCATGAAGGAGGTGAGCCTGTAAGGATTGAGAAGTTTTCTAATAGCTAGGATTGCAAGAATCTGTACTGACAGAGTTTGCTGGTACTCTCTCTCTCTCACTTGTACCAATGTGGGCGGCGCAGCACCCTGGCTACAAAGCCAGGGCAGCAGGCACTGAGTTATTTTGTCTTCCTAAGCTACCGTCCTAGGTCATTGAATTTTCCAAGGTATCAGTTTTTCCCCTGTTGAATTCCAGTGTTCTACCCATGACCACTCACCTCAATATGCAGCTATACATCTCTTGCTTTTGTTTTTCTTTCTGGAAAGGCAGATGAGTGCTAGGTGCCTGTATTTAGTCATTTTGCTAATCCAAGCCAGTTTATCTGCTTAGTTCTTATGATGGTCTGGATATGAGGTTTCTCCCCAAATCTCCTGTGTTAAAAAAGAAAGTGTAACCCAGTGAGTCTGTTGATCTGATTAATGGATTAATAATTTGAATGGATTATTGGGTAGTAACTAGAGGCAAGTGGGCCATAGCTGGAGAAAGTGGGTCACTCAGGACATATATTGTGGATTATATATTATGTTCCTGCCTCCTTGTGCTCTTTCTCTCCTTCCTGGCTACCACAACAGAGCAGCTTTCTTTAACCATTTCCTTCCATCATGAGGTTCTGCCTCACCTAGGGCTCAGAACAATGGAATCAGCAGACTGAAGTCTCTGAAACCATGAGCCAAAATACACTTTTCCTCTTCTAAATTGTTCCTGTCATGTATTTTGGTTACAGTGAAGTGTAAAGCTGACTAACAGTTCTTAAATTATGTCATATGTAAACACCTATAATCCTTACTTATTAAGAGTGACTCAGTTTAGATATAGTTGTTCTTTCATTATTATATTTTTCTTCTTTCCTCCAACTTCACATGTTAACACCAGGGTCTTAGTCCATTTTGTGTGACTATAACAAAAAACCCTACACTACGTAAGTTTAAAGAAATGAAGGTGGTTTCATTCATGATTAAGGTAGATGAACAGTTCAAATGGCAGAATATCTGCAAGGGCTTCTCTTGCTGCATCACAAGATGGTGGAAGCAACACACATAAATAAACAAATAAAAGCATTCTGTCCATCTATAACTACAAAAAAGAAAAAGAAAAAAAAAGAAAATTGCTACTTGCAGAAGAAGCACATGGTTTTGTGCCATCTATCTTCCAATAACTGTTCTGAAGTTGATCAGGTTTAATTTTTAACATCAGAAGAAGTTAAAATTGCTTTTTTTTCCCCTTGTAGTGCTGACAATTGAGTCTATAGCCTCACACATGCTTGTGAAGTGCTACTACCTACATGCTATATGCTACATGGCAGTGCTACATGCTACCACCGAGCTATACAGTTGCAGATAATTTTAAGATGATTGAGATGGATACTACTAAGGAAACATTGAACAATGAAAAGAAAGACATGTAAAAATAGTGTGTGGGTGGAAGTAGTGAATGGATCCAAACATAGATAAATGGATTAAAAAGAGCACAGCTTTCTAAGAAGACAGACATATATAGGAAGCATCAAATAGAAATAGGTGACCCAGAGATTTTTAGTCTGATAATCTGATATTATTTCTCAGTAAGCATAGGTCATCAGAATCAGAGAGGATGTGGGACAGTCAGAAATTCATTAAGGTGGAGAATGTATAATACAATTAATTTCAGAGATGAAAAGTGGTGACCAGAAAAAAAGTGATAGGATTTCTAATGGTTTCCAAAGATGTTCATATTGGTGACAATGAATTTACATCGATACTGAATTCCTAGGCCAGAGAGCTAAATCTGGGAATCCCAACACACTGAGTCTGGCCAATTACCTTAAAAACAAACAGAAAAAGTAATGGTGAAAAGCATGAAAGGAATTTTAATCAATTTGGTGATATTGGGAAGACAAAACAAACCATCATTTGCAGCCCTGTTTTTGGAGATACTGATAGCTTCCAAATTATATAAACAAAGAAAACAATAAATTTCCAGAGTCAAGCAGTCTTGGTCAAACTGTGTTCTAGTTGATCGTTTTCTCAATGCTGGTCCCGTGTGCCCTTGTCTGTGCTGATAAGAAAGTTGCTGTTCCCCAGGTTAGTGTGGGGTTTCAATTCATTACAAGATATTTATCCATTACATCTTTGTTTCTGGAAAATGTTATGAAGGGCAGATTGATAAAGTTGGCAATGAAGCTGGAGGAGCTAATAAAATCACAGCTTAATTTTATGTTGGAAAGAGCTGGAAACCAGTAAGTTAAAGAAGTGATGTTGTATGTACAAATGGGAGACACTAGTAGGCCATTTTTGAAATGTGCTATTTAAAGGTCATATCACCAGGGTATTATACCAAAATATGTTATACCACACTATGCATAAAAATTAAACACAATGAAGTTTTTTATTTTTTAATTTAATTTAATTTTTTTTTTTTTTTTTTTTTTTTTTTAGTGGTGTTGGTGATCTAAACCAGGGCCTCGTGCATGCCACACAAGCACTCTACCTTTAAGCTACATGCCCAACCCCCATCCAGACTTTAATAAGCCATTTTTGAGATGAAAGATTTGAAAGTTAGGTTAAATACCACTCCCATGAAAGTAGTTGGCTGAGGCTGCATGGAGGAGAAAATATTTGGAGTTGAGAAGGCGAAGAGACTAAGGGATAAGGTGAAGGAGGATCATGCATACGGGCAGTGAGGAATTAAGAGAGTTGTGAGACACAGGCAACAGGAAAAGGGAAATAGAAAGGTTTCAGGAGAGTGGTGTGAGTACCTTGTTTCTCAGTCTGATGACACAGCCAAAGACAGCCAAACTTGGAAATGTATTTTGTAATTTCTTTTATACTCACAAACTTGAGACCAAAGAATGTATTAAATTGTATCTTGTGAAGAAAGTAGCTTCTATAAAAGTCTGACATGACTTTGTTGGATAAACAATGTCAGATATGCGTGTGGCTATTTTTTAATTTTGAAAGTTTTAAATCTTTGTTCAAATTATTTAATTTTAATTGATATAATTATTAATTATTCCATACAGATTGTGCAGTGTCATATTTTGCTATAATAAAGAAAATGTAAACACTTAGGAATGGATTCTGACATCAGCTTCCACTGAGAATTATTAATTATAAGTTAACTGAAAAGCTAGAAAAATAACTGACAGATTTACATGCTACGTATTTTGTGGGTCACTTGTTCCGCGAACTCTCTAATGCAACTTGTAATTTGGTTGATTTTTCTTTTCCTTTGAGGTCTCAGACTTGATAAGGACATTCTGATTTAGCAACATTTTCTCTCCCTCATTTTGTGGAGGTGGTGAGCTACAGATCAAGAGCTACAAGAACTTTCTTTGTTTTTTTTACAGACCCTGATTCACAAATATCATATGTCATTTTAAGTTTCTTTTGATTTAAATTCTTGCCTAGACATTTTTACACCAGATTATCAGTTGTATACTTTTACTAATCGACTGCAGGTATTTTACACTAAGTATTCTTAAAGTCTTTTATAAAACATTTAGATTGAGTCTGCCAGTGGGTAAGTATCATTGTTTTTTTTACTTGTTTGCTTCTTTCATGTTACTAGTATCTGTCATTCTTGGGTATTAATTAATTCAGGTCTCAACAGAGAATGTGTTAAACGATAGCTTTGGGAGAAAATAATTTCTGTAAAACTATAGCATGTCTTCATTTCGTAAAAAAATAATGTGGGGCGTGAAGCTGGATCTCTTGTGTTTCTTTCATGTAGGAAGTTCCTTTTTATTTTATTTTGCCAACTGCATAGCCTCTTTATCAAATTAGTTAACTGCATAAGTCATCATTTTCTCACTATTTTGAAGTGCTTGTTCAACAGATGAATACATTATTTGGCTTTTTTAGTTACTGATAAATTTCTGTGCAGAAAGGTGTTGACAATATATACATTTTCTAGAGGCTGATATGAATGATGCCTGCTTTCCTATTCTGCATATTGTTCAACTTTTGTAATTGTATTTTGTTTGTAAATATTTGATATTATAGCTGAAAATGATACATCATTAATATTTTTATTTTCATTTCTTTGATTAGCAGTGAAATATATCTTTTCAGATGCTTACCTATGATGAAATTGTATTATAAAAAGAATGTATTTACATTCAAATTCTTCTTTCTCTGTGTGTGACTAAAGTCATAATTATTTATCTGTACTTTCTTTTTATTCTCTTATGTGTCTTGGCTTACCTTTAACATTTTGGTTTTGAAGTTCGAGTATATGATATGAAATTAGTAATGTACATATGTAATGCTCCCATTTGGAACCAGTTTCCCATCTGATTCTATCCCCATGCCCATCTTATTATCTGTCCTCAAACCAATGATTCATTCCTTCTCATACAAAAGTTACATAATTATTACAAATTGTTGAACTGCAACATTCTCATCCTGTTATTAAATTAACTGTTATATCTGCTGGTGGGTATATGAACTGAACAAATACTTTTAGGAAAGCAATTTGACATAATGTAAAAAACAAAACAAACAAAAAAAACACTTAATTTTTTAATTTATATATTTATTTTAGGAAAAATAGTCCTAAGAAATAGTGATGGATGTAAAAAGTGTTATGTACAAGATGGTTATTTGATATTTTAAAATATTTTAGACTTCACATTTAACAAGATTTTAACTTGCACTTTAGTTTTCAATGAGGTACAAAGTAATGCAAACCTTTCAAAACTCTACCTACACATAACCCAATAAACACAGTATAATGCAACTCTCTTGTCTTGCTTTGTGCCTCAAAAATATTCTTTTTAAATTTTTTTAAAAGTTTTTTAGTTTTCGGTGGACACACTATCTTTGTATGTGGTGCTGAGGATCAAACCCAGGCCGCACGCATGCCAGGCGAGCGCACTACCGCTTGAGCCACATCCCCAGCCCTTAAATTTTAATTATTAATTTTTTCCACACTTTTTAAAAATTGTTACATTATGGTTGTACATAATGATGAAATTTGTTGCTATATATTCATATATGCATACCATATGGCAATATAATTTGGTCAATAGCACTCCCCAGCACTTTCCTTCTCCCTCCCCTGCTAGATTATTCTTTTATCTAAGCTATTAATGTTGCTCCAGTAGATAGATGTACCATAATTTATTCAACAACACTTAATCATGATCACTTTTGTTGAATATCATTGTATTTTGTTTTGTTTTTCTGAAATATTTATCAGAAGAAATAAATAATTGAAAAACCCATGGGTTGTGTATCTTCAAACATATATTTGACATATCTGTAGGATGAATAATTCAAATTTAAAAGTCATCACTGTTACTTTTAATAAATATTGACAATTTTCTACTTGTAATCACTTGATAATTAAAAATTGTCAATTAAAATATTTAGTATTATCAAAGGTGAATATTGTTCCATTATCTTAATTTTCATATATTTCTCTGTGAAAATCTTATGTTTATGTTGTATTTTATGAGTACCTGCCTAATTCCCTCATTTTTGATATTCATTGAGGTTTTCTCATTAATTTAGATGGTTTGTGATTCCCTCTGTGTGTATTAAATAACAGATATACTTAGCTAAAAAACTATATTAGGCAAGCAACTCCAGAATTACAGTTATATTTAAATGTTAATTTGTCAAGCTTCTGAGATAAATCTGTTTTTCTTAATAAATATAGAATCCGTTGAATAATAGACTATATATATATATAATATTTAAAATAAAATGACAAATTTAAATTTTTAATTTTCCTGATCTTGTTAAATGAAGGTAGAATTATTTCTCTGAATAAGGAAGATGGGAAGTTCACAGAGAAATTTAGATTTGCCTTTCCTCTTGTATTACCCTATAATATCGGACCTAAATGCTTTAATGTCATAGTGAATACATTATTCATTGACTTAATGATGCACTTTACTCTTATTTACATTTTTGTTTCATAGACCTTAAAGAACAAAAGAAGCAAGTTATCAAGATTAACTGAAGTTATCGAGGCATTTTTAGATTTTTTAAAAAATGCCTCGGAATAAACAAAATGAATGTATACTAAACAAAGAAGAGATAAATTACACAGATATAAAATTTTTCAAATCTCAACAGAAGAGAAGAAGACCCAAGGAAAAGCAGGATTCTGTAATATCAAATGAAGAGACTGTAAACTATGTGCCACTGAAATTCAACAGAGCTTTTCACCTCAAACACAAAAAATTGTTTGTTAGAGAAAAAAAAGGTAAAGTGCTATATAAGTATTTTGTTTAAAAGATATATCTTGATTCTTGGGTTTGGAAGATTACCCCTCTCAAAACCATTATCAAATTTTCACATTTTCTGTACAATAATTATCTATCTTTTTAGCAATTTCCTGAGATTTTTCAGGATACTTCGCGGAATAGATTATTTCTTAAATAGTATATGTTCATTTCTGTAAAACATTGACCCAGATTCCAACATAATTGTAGTATTTTTAAGAAGTATATGCTTAATAGAATGAAAGTTTTGAAGTTCTGTTTCTTCCTATAATATATTAAAATTATCATTGATGCTAGTTTTTAATTCAATTCAGCCTAAATTCAGTGCCATAAATATTTGTTGAACTTTTACTATTGTCCTGCTCTGGGACATGCAACCTAAAAAAATAAAGGAGCGATAACTATAAGAATTTTAAAAAAAATGACATAAGTTATTGTCACAGGAATGACAGATTATATAAAGTGAATGTTAACAATATTTTGAAAATAAAATTTAAAAGACTTCATAATTAATGAGATAACGGAGTTAAAGGGGAGAAATTAAAAGTTGTTTCAAAATATTTTAACAGGGTTCTTAGTTTAAGTGATTGGTAGTAATTTTCTGTATCATTAGAAAAACAGGCTATTACTAGTGACTAATCTAGTTAAAGTCAGATAATATATGGCATTCTAATTTCTCTTGGTATTTCAGAGAAAAATGTGTAAAAAGAAATTGGATGTAAAAGGCTAGATCTCTAGACAGAGGCTGGGACAGGTGTGGAAGAGTGGGATGTAAGTAGGTTAGATTGCAGATGGAGAATATAGGAAGGAAACATCTGTCAGAGAGATGTTGATATGTCATAGGTAAGACTTGAGCATAGGAAAATTCAAGACAAATATGTGAATACATGACCAGAGGGAAGTACAAACAAAGTATTCCAAAATAAGAAGAATGATCAATTAAACCACACGTAAAAAATTATCTACTTGAATTTAGCCTGTTCTCCTCCTCTACTGCCCTCTTTGCTTCCTGAATTCCAGAATGACAGTATTTTATTTCATGAAAGCTCAAAGCCCAAGAGCATTAGATACTGCCTCTCTAGGTAGAAATTCCTCAATACTCTCATGCTGCAAAATGTTTCCCCAAAATGCAATGTAATGTCACTTTATCAGAGAATATTTCTAGGTCTCTTGCTTTTAGGTGAAACTAGTATGAACATTTCCATATTTGCCATATTTATTTGTTGTTCCCCGCAAAAAAAAAAAAAAGATGTAATTTAAAAATTTTTTTTCCCCTTGACTGAGATAGTGGTTGAATGGTTGAATATTGAAGATCACATGGGATTTAGAAATCATTTTATTTTCATGGCTCGTTTTTATTTGCATGGCAGTTGTATTTTCTCTAAGTGCACTTTGTCTTTGAGTTTATTAGCACAGAAAACATGTTTCGGAATTGTCCAGAGTTAATAATTTGTAGAATACCAGGGGTAAAGGAGGCTTTAAGTTGCTGGTTTGTTCTTCTTTTTCTAGGGCTTTGAGATGTAGTGTGAGGTCATTTATTTGTTGACTTTTTCTTCTTTTAAGGAATGAACTCTATGCAATGAATTTTCCTCTTAGAACTGCTTTCATAGTGTCCCAGAGATTTCTATATGTTGTGTCTATGTTCTCATTTACCTCTAAGAATTTTTTAATCTCCTCCTTAATGTCTTCTGAACCCATTGTTCATTCAGTAGCATATTGTTTAGTCTCCAGGTGATGGAGAAATTTTTATTTTTTATTTTGTCATTGATTTCCAATTTCATTCCATTATGATCTGATAAAATGCATGGTTTCATCTCAATAGCTGCTCTAGTATCTCTACTTTTTTAATGTTTGCTAAAAGTTGCTTTGTGGCATATTATATGGTATATTTTAGAAAAGGATCCATGTGCTGTTGAGAAGAAAGTGTATCTGCTTGATGCAGATTGAAATATTCTATATAAGTTTTTTCTCAGCAAAAGAAATAATCTGTGAGATGAACAGAGAGCCTACATCCTTGGAGCCAATTTTTAGCCCTCACACATCAGATAGAGCACTAATCTCTAGAGTATATAAAGAACTTAAAGAGCTAAGCACCAAAAAAAACCCCAAAAAACAAATAACCCAATCAACAAATGGGCCAAGGACCTGAACAGACATTTCTCAGAAGAGGATATACAGTCAGTCAACAAATATATGAAAAAATGTTCATCATCTCTAGCAATTAGAGAAATGCAAATCAAAACTACTCTAAGATATCATCTCACTCCAGTCAGAATGGCTGCTATTATGAAGACAAACAACAATAATTGTTGGCTAGGATGTAGAAGATAAGTTACATTCATACATTGCTGGTGGGACTGCAAAATGGTACGGCCAATATGGAAAGCAGTATGGAGATTCCTTGGAAAACTGGGAATGGGACCACCATTTGACCCAGCTATCCCTCTCCTTGGTGTATACACAAAGGATTTAAAAACAGCATATTACAAGGACACAGCCACATCAATGTTTATAGCAGCACAATTCACATTAGCTAAACTGTGGAGCCAACCTAGATGCCCTTCAGTGGATGAATGGATTAAAAAATGTGGCATATATACACAATGGAATTTTACTCCGCAATAAAAGAGAATAAAATCATGACATTTGCAGGTAAATGGATAATGTTAGAGAAGATGATGAAATTAGCCAATAAGAAGTGAAATTAGCCAATCCCCCCAAAACAAATGCTGAATGTTTTCTCTGATATGTTTTCTCTCATAGTGGGGTAGGGATAGGGAGCATGGGAGGATTAGATGGATTCTAGATAGGGCAGAGGGGTGGGAGGGAAAGGGAGGGGACAGGTGATTAGCAAGGAATGTGGAATGTGATGAACATCATTATCCAAAGTACATAGATGAAGACACGAATTGTTGTCAACTAACTTTATATACAAACAGATATATGAAAAATTGTGCTGTACACATATAATAAGAATTTTAATGCATTCTGCTGTCATTTATTTCTTTTTTAAATCAATAAAAAAAAAGATGCTGGTGAGGATGGCATTGGTGAAATACCCTGGACTTCAGGCTGGACGAGGGAAAAGTGAATTTTAGAAGGAGCCAGTAGCAGGGAGGGAATTTGGAGAGCCAGGAGCTGGAGTTCTTAGTGCAGTTGAAAAATTGTTGATTTCATGATGACCGCATGGAAGCATTAGAAATGTGAAGCTGCCCTCCAAGAGTGAGAAGTAATGATCTTTGTTTTTTTGTATTAGCTGCTCTTGGAAAAGAGAAGACTCAATGATTATTTTCCTTTCTTTTATTTTTAGACCCTGAATCTACAGCATGGCGGGTGATAGCTGGCATCCTAGTGGTCTTGTGTATGGTTTTGCTGACAACAGTGGGTGTCTTGCTTTCAAACTGTAAGTAATTAAGTAAATATTTGTTCTCATTGCAACTAAAATATCAATAATATGATGTATGTATATGTGTGTGTTTCTACATACATAAAAAATATATTCGCTATTAAGAATGAATCTTACATTATCTTAATAATTATATTCTAAATAGTATTAATTACTATCATAATTTTTTGTCACAGTACTTTCTAGAAGAGAAGAACAAAACAGAAAAATTTCCACCACATCTTCTAAAGACAATGGTGAGTATTAACTCTGGCCAGGCCACTTCCAATATTTTTGTTTATTGGGGCAAAATTTATATCTTCTTAAAACCTAACTTCAGTGAATCATGATAGACAAATTTGGATTTATCATATGATCATCTGTATTTGCAAAATACTAGGTAAAATAAGGAAAATGACATAGAAGAATGTGGAAAGGCTCAAAGTATTATAAATAAAATATGAGTAGTATTATCTGTGATTTTATTATTAGGAGAAAAGGTTAATTTAAGTACATATTGAATAACAAGTATGAACCATTCATATTACTTATGTTTTTATTTTTATTCATCTAGTTTGAAAATAAAAAGAACTCAGTTGAACAGAAATGAATCATAGGGAAACATAAATTAAATCCCAGTGTATAACCACTACAGAAAAGATTGGCAATACCAGGTAGGATGCAGGATGAAGTTCTAGCTCACACACTCTGTATTCTACTCTTAGACATTTGAATTAAAAAAATGAAAATTATATACATAAGAGAGTTGTACACAAGTCTTTGTAGGTATTTTATTCAAAACAACTCCAACTAAACATTCAAAATATCCATTATAGACAAACTGTTTTTAGTCATATGATGATATTATCAAACAGGGACCCACTGCCCAAAGCACATAGCAAACAATATTATGGCACTAGATTTCTACAAAAAGAAAAATTTTATTGTGCAACCAACCAGCAAAGAGACCAGAAGATTTAAGCTCAGATTGGCCTCTCAGGTGAGTTGGTTGTCAGGGAAATTCATACGAAGGAAGAGAAGACAAGTTGCTTGTAATATTGGAGGTCATGTTTCTTCACAGGTCAAAAGTTTCTTTTTGAGGGAGGAATTCATGTTCTACACAAGGGATTTTGAGCTTGTGACATTTTTTGACTGCAAGATCAGGGTTTTTTTGTTTGTTGTTGTTGTTCATGTCCATTTTCAAAAAGCCAGTTTCAAACTCTTAAGAGTCATTAAGTGAAAGGTTGGTGGTTTTTTATTGTAGATAATGTAAGAACTTCTTTTCAGTTTTATTTTATATTTTGCTTCTTTTCAGTTACATAAGACAGTAGAATCCATTTGACATAATTATAAAATAACTGAACTTTTTTAGTTAAATGAGTTATGTTTGGGTCTGTCTAGGCCTTAACCAATTTCAATGGATGACTACCTAGCAATAAAACAGAATGAAATATTTCTACATGGAAAATCTGAAAAAAATCGAGTAAAATAAGTTGGTCTAAATAGTTCAAAATTGTTAAATCTTATTCATTTGTCAAAACTCTTCAAACTACATACTTTAAATCACTGCATTTTATTGTATGTAAATTATACCTCTACAATATTAATTTTAAAACTGCACAGAAATAAGAAATAATTAATAACAATGATTTTCTGTCCAATTTTTCCTTCTTTCTTAATCTTTAGTCTTGCTCCCAATAGGCAAATGCTATTAACTCTTCAAGCTTTTCCTTACTACTTTCACATTTCAAAATAATGTGCTCTTACTACTACCTATTGAGTTATGCATTTTAGATGGTAAGCATTGTTTTCTTATGATCCGAACTTTTTCAGCTTGTCCTGGTAGGTGGGGTCTGCATAAACTGTAGGCCTCTATGGCAGAACCGTGTTGCAGCTCTTAATGACGGATTATGCCTTCCAGAGTTGCAGCAAACCCCAGCTCACTGCCAGTTTCTTCTTTCTGAGTTCTTGTCTCAATAGTTGAAAAATGAAATTCAGAAATCCTTAGATGAGGATAAGTGAGTATAAGAGAAGCATTTATTCATGTGTGAGGAGAAGAGATGGAACCCTGGAGGGTGAGAAGGGACAGGATAGCTGAGTGTGCTAGTTTAAAGGTTTATATAGTACTTGGGTCAATGCTATTGGTACAAATTTATGCTAATCAGGATTTGGAACAGTACTATTGATTGAAATTTATGCTAATCAGAATTTAGAAAAGCTCTGCAATCCCACTGGGTCTTGCCCTACTTCTGCTTTCCTACTGCAGGTCTGCAACCCCAGCTTTCTAGGAGGTTGAGGTCAGTAGATGGTGCATGTTTCAGGGTCTAGAGCTGCGGCCTGTGTGGAGGGGGCTTCTGCATCAGGCCAAAGCCAGCCTTGGTGCTACAGAATGGGGCGCCCCGGTTTGCCTCAGCTCTGGCTTGCCAGTCTCAGGCCCTCAGGCGCTCAGGCCCTCTGGGGCATGGCAGGCTCTAGCGGGCTGGCAGCCCAGTTCTTGCCACCTGTATTCCAGCCTTCCTGGGCTGCCTCTCCACTGCCTCACTGCAGTTTTTCTGAAGCCTCTCTGGGGAGATTATTGGGTTGGCTGTGCTGATAGGCAGCCAGGGAGCCATCTCAATAAGAACATAGTGGAGATCTACCAAGAGCCCGAGGAACCCATTGCCTTCTATGCCATGGGCCGGGGCAGCCTTGGGGAAGCCCCCATCAACATCTATGCTGAGGTGGAAGGTCTGTCAGCAACGGCGTCCACTTGACACCCCTTCCTCCGCAAGTGCCAATCCAGACCTGTCCCAGGAGGCCAGAATCCAGGTGGTCCACAGAGGTACTCTGAGAATTCTGGGGCTAGACAAGGCCCTCCCCTGCCTCAGCAGCCTCCACAACCCTGGAGGCACACCCTTCCCCACAACCTCTCTAGACAGGTCTTCAGGACAGAGGACCGGCATGACCCCCCCCTTGGGCCTCCTCAATAGGTGGAAGCATCAGAGATTTCCTCAGATAGGAAACCTGGCTGCTTTTCCAGGCTTCTGCCACGGGGAGGCCTGAGAGCTGGGTCCCTCTCCTGGGTTCTGACGTAGCCCTGTCCCCCTGACAGGTCTGCCCTCTCACATACACAATTAAAAAACAACAACAACAACAAAATGGACATCAGAGGAGCAAATGTGGAATCTGCCTTCTCCTCTTAGGGACACACACACTGGCTGCTCTCTGAAGAGTTCCCAGAAATCCAATGGCTTGATGCTTGGTGATCCTCTAAGACAGCAAAGAAGTGTACTACCAGGGCCTTCGGGCTCCTGCGGCCCTGGTTTCTCCTCCTGGAGTCTAATTTCCTTGGCCCTCTGAGCCTTTGAGTCTGGGCCCCAGTCCAATGCTGCTGTTGTCTGAGGAATGGTTTGGAGAGAACAGATGTTAGAACTTGTTTGTTGATTCTTGTCTGGCTAATAAATCATCGCCAACAACCTCCCCCCACGGGGGGAGGCGGGAGGGGGGGTGGAGGGGGGTAGAGAAGACAGCGGACATAGCTCCCCAATCTTCTCTCTACTTTATCCTCCACATGTATCATAATCATATGATGACATTCTTCCTAAATCCCTTTTGTCTCCATCTCAAATCAGGATTAACTGCACACAACTACAGGGGATTTCTTTTCTTATAACTTTGTGTTTGTACCCTGTATGGATTCAATTTTTTATGTATTTTTTTTACTTAAAGGATTGGTGAAAGATTTTTTTTTTCTTCTTGAGGACAAACTTAGTGACTCCCTAAAATTGTTTCATAAGACTTATATTTCAGACTTGGAATACCATTCAAATGATTTCTATTTTTCTTTCTACTTAATTAATAATGAGAATTCTTTGATGAAACTACGTTTTGTAGCTGGGTATGGTGGTACATGCCTGTAGTCCCAGCAACTCCTGAGACTGAGGCAGGAGGATCGAATATTGAAAGCCAGCCTTGGCAATGTAGTTAGGTCCTAATCAATTTAGCCAGGCCCTGCTACAAAATAAAAAATAAAAAGAACTCAGGATGCAGCTCAGTGTTTAAGCACCGCTGGGTTTAATCCCCAGTACCAAAAACAAGACAAAAAATATTTTGTAAAGTATTATTTCATTTTTTTGCCTTCAATGCTAGTATTGACCCATATTATATCATTTGATTTCAGATTCCTTGGGACAAATTTTATATTGCTTTTTAAAATTACTTTATTTTCTTTTTCATAAAAGGTGTTTGAAATTTTACAACTATATGCCTTCTTGTCGAATTCATTTGTTAATTTATTGTTTGTATTTAATTCACTGAACACTCAATTAATTCTTGAAATTTGGAGTTCTATCACTTCTAATTGTTATTTCAATATTTGGAGTTGAAATATTAATTTGATTTGTGTATGTTTTAAAACTTTATGGAGTAATTATTAAATACCTTACTAGTTAATTACAGGTATTTCTTAAAAACCCTGTTATTTGGATTTTTTGTTTTTCCACTTTCATTTTCAGATTCTCTTTCTGAAATGTTATCAGTTATTCCATGTTTTATTTCCTTGTTTTATTTTCTGTGTTTGTTTTTGCTTTATTTTGCTTTTCTCCATGGATTAACTCCTAATTCTCCTGTATTTAAATTATCCTATTTTCACTTTTTGATCTTTATGGATATGATATTTTTTTAAAACAGAACCTATTCTTTGTTAAAGGATCCAATAGTATATATTTGAGAAAATTTTATCTATAGAGGTTTTGTTCTGGGTGTTTATTTTGCCTTCTACATTTTTATTTGAAATGGATCTGTTTTCAATTTTATTTATTTTTTCCATGTTGGAGACTTAACATCAAACATCTTTTTATCATCTACTGCTTAGAAACACAAAGCATTAAAAAAGCATTAAAAAGCTGAGTGAGATTCTGTTTGATGAAGAGGGAGCTCAGGTTACCCTGAAGCTCCATGTTACTCTCCAAAAATTGTAATACTCAGAGGGGAGTTTTAGTTTATTTTTCCCTCTAGAGATTATTAACTCTATCTGCTGTTGTTAGAGAAAATGTTTGAGTTAGGGTTAGGTTATATATATACGTGGGGAGTGTTACTGGGGATTGAATTCAGGGACACTCAGCCACTGAGCCACATCCCCAACCCTATTTTGTGTTTTATTTAAAGACAGGGTCTCACCGAGTTGGTTAGCATCTCGCTTTTGCTGAGGCTGGCTTTGAACTTGCGATTCTCCTGTTTCAGCCTCCTAAACCACTGGGATTACAGGCGTGAGCCACCGCACCTGGCCCTTTATATTTTTTTGAGACAGGGTTTCCCTAACTTGTGATCCTTCTGCCTCAGCCTCTGAGCAGCTAGGATTACAGGCATGTGCCACTACGCCTGGAGTAATCTTGTTTCTTAATAGCTGGCCCTTTGTATTTTCATCTCTGTCATGAATTAATACTCTCTTAGTTACTTTATTTCTTGTAGAAATTCATTTAAACATTTTGTTGTCTTTTCTCTCTGCCAATGTTCTTTCCAGTCATTCTGTACTTTCATTTTTTTTTCTTCCTCACCTTTATGTTTCTTTTCATTTCTTTTTCCTTTATTGCTCTCGTTGTACTCTAACCTTGATAGTAGAACAAGTCAAGCTCTAAGAGCCTAGAGAGTGGAGGTTGCTTTGAGGGGTTAGGAGTCAGGGCTCCTGTTCCAATCTCTTCCTAAGGGCTGCAGTTCACCAGCTCAGGCATCCATATTTACATTTAATGAAACCCAGCTTCTCTTTATCTCTTGCCTAGCTTCGAAGGTCTAGATAGACAAAGTTTCTTAAAAATTCAATATCTTTTTGGCTTTTTATCTAGATTTCTAGTTTTTTAAAAAGGTCATCAAGGTCCAAAATAACTGTATCTTGAAATCAGTGAGGTGTACTGACATCAAAGCTATCACTAGCTGGAAGTATTTTTAATCTTTACAATGGTGTTGCCAACATTAAACAGCTGCAAGACAAAGGATGAGGCTTTAATTTGAGCAACAGAGTTGAAAATTAGATTATTGTGTAATACTTGGAAATATCAAGAACTTTTTTTTCTATATTGGTTCAAATTCTAGTTGAAAATAAAGACTTCTCCGTCATTTCTCAGTTAGGCAGTCTTAGAATTTACAGTCACATTGCCTATCTGATTCTGGATTGGTAGTGATACCACTGATGATAAGATTCAATCACAGTCAAGTTCCACTTCTCCAGATGTTAAGTTTGAATATCTGAGAAACACCGAGGCAAGTGTAGAAAGCAATTTGTATTTATGGATTAGAGCGGAAACAGACTTCTCCACAGAAATGGGGTCCCAGATCTGGGTATTCAAAGAAGTGGGGGTGTCTCACCCCTTTTATACTTTTTAGATCTCCTTTGTTCTCATGCCCTCTTTCTCCCTTTATCTTGCATGTGTGACCAAAAGGTGGGCCAAAGATGGAATGATTCTGGGCAGGAAGGGAACAGTCCAGGAGGCATTAATTAACAACTCCTTGTAGGGAGGAACAATTCTCTGGGGGCAGTTACCTTGCAACAGGTGAAGGAGGAGGGGGAAGGGCTTTGGAGATATCAGCCTTTGATTTCTTTTCCTTTTGAACTAGTCCCCATATCCCCTATCAGACCCAATTATTTATTATATAAACTGACTGCCTTTTGTCCCTCTGGCTTTAGAAGTATTTCAGGCTGCTAAACAAGAGCTGAAATAACAAACAAAATAATTAAGTGCTAATACTTTTAGCTAATGTAATAACCAAGGAATAAAACCACGGATCTTTCAAATATTAGCAGTGTAATTAAAGACACACAAAAGACTGAAGGAGAAATTTCTTATTTTTAGAAAAGGACCAAACATAAACTTAGTGTTTGCCTCAGTGTTTTAAGAATTGAGCATAAAGCTGGTTGTGATGGCTTGTGTCTGTAATCCCCATGGTTTGGGAGGCTGAGGCAGGAGAATCACAAGTTCAAAGTCAACCTTGGGAATCTAGTGAGGTCCTAAGCAACTTAGTGAGACTCTGTCTCTAAATAAAATATTTAAAAGGCCTGGGTTTGTGGCTCAGTGGTTAAGCATCCCTGGGTTCAATTCCTGGTACAAAAAAAAAAAGAAAGAAAGAAAGAAAGAAAGAAAGAAAGAAATTGAACCTAAAGCAATAAATACCATGAGTAAGCTTTATGTTGGGAGATAAATATCTAGTCAAGGAGGGGAGTGAAGGAGGAGCATGAAAAAAGCAGTAATAAAGCAATATGTACTAGTGCCAATTATCTTACGATAGCAGCAAACTGTCACAACAATGGCTTAGCAAGTGTTTTTATTCAGCACACTAAAAAGTCTGGGAAAGACTGCAGGGGTACCTGGCACATTTGAGTAATCCAAGGGATAGAGAAAGGAAATAGGAAAAATAATAACTCATCAGAAGAAGATATGGGTAAAAGATATGAGTGAAAGGACCATAAAAGAAAAAAGTACAAATATAAATTATTATATGATAGATGTTAAGTTCATAGGCAATTATGAATGTTTTCGTTATATAATGGTTAACAGTGGCTTTCTTATAATAATCTTATTAATGTTGATTTACTTTATCTACTTTTCCTGATATATATTATCTACAATATATATATGAAGATGTTGGTATTAACTCAATAAATTAACAAAAATATAAAATAATACAATTTATGTATCTCTCTCTTGATATATATATATATATATATATATATATATTTATTGTTATTGAAATAACCTTGATGAGATGAATACCGACCAACAACTCTCCTCAGAGAGAGAAGAAAATGCAATCAACTTTCTAAAAGACAAAAGTAGCATTAAACTGTATTTTGATGGTTATAAGAATTACAAAATGAAGAAGCTATGCAAAAAGGTTTATTTATAAATGATTGGAACATTAGTTTCAAAATTATAGCATTTTTTTGTATATCCAAAATGACTATTAATAAAAAAATTTCCACCAGAATTGGAATCATTCAGTAGTTAGTTTTTAAGCTTATATTATATATTGTTTAGACATTTAAATATTTAATCATGTAAAATATGCTTATAATATTATTTGAAATGTAGTTTTCTTATATTATTTTCATATGGAAATTTCAAAACAAGCAAAATTATTTATTTATTTATCATGGTTAGCTATGGATTGTGCAAAGATGGCTCAAAAATGGTACAAAAGTGCTTAAAGTGGGGATGCAGCTCCCTGGTAGAGCACTTGCCTTGATGATGGAGCCATGGGTTCTATCTCTACCTGTTATGGTTTGGATGTGAGGTGTCTTCCAAAAGCTCACATGTGAGACAATGTAAGAAGGTTCAGGGGAGAAATGATTGGGTTGTGAGAGTCTTAATCCAATCAGTGAGTTAAATCCCTGATAGAGATTAACTGAGTGGTAACTGAAGTGGTAGGGTGTGGAGGAAGTGGGAATTGGGCATGGCTTTCAGGTATATATTTGTATCTGGCAAGGGTAGTTTCTCTGTCTCTTCTTCCGGATCTTGATGTGAGATGAAGCTTTCTGTCACACTCTCCTGCCATGATGTTCAGTCTCACTTTGAGTCCCACTGGGTAGAGCCAAACTTATGGACTGAGATCCTCTGGAACTGTGAGCCCTCAAATAAACTTTCTCTCCTTTAAAATTGTTCTGGTCAGATCTTTTAGTCACTACAGCAAAAAAGCTGACTACAATACCAGCACAGTCTAATATTCATCTGTATTACAAACACATGAACTTTATAGCTGTATAATAAGTTACTCATAGACTTATTTCCCATTTAATATGTTTATATTTCCTAGAATGTTCCTGTGATCTTAGATCTCACAATGGGATTGGGTTTGGAAATAGTTACTATCATGTTTCTAATGAAACCAAAACCTGGCCAGAAAGTCACACTGCCTGTGTAGAACTGAATTCTCATCTTCTGAAGATACAGACCCAAGAATTGCTGGTAGGAAAGACAATCTTACTTTTCTTTCACATTGAAACCATATTTGGTTTTGAAGCATTAGTGATGAACACTATAATTTGGCAAATTGAATGTTCTCAAGGATGCATTATATTTTATTTCAAATTTGTTTTCTCAAGGAAAAATTAGAGAAACTCTATCACTAGAATATGTAACACTGCAAGAAAACCAAACTAATCAAGTAGTACTATCATGAGGTGGGGCCTATTAATACTATGTGAATGTGTGCAAGCCTTTGGGAGAACTTTTACCATTAATCATTGAGTTAGGAAGGGATACATGGTAATATATGAACTTTTATGGATTATGGAATGTTTTGCCAATAGGATATCTTATCAACATTTGGAATGTCGGGATGGATAGATCATAAAATGTGTGCAACTGATTGGTCCCCGTTAATGGAAAATTGTACCAAAATGAATGAAAGTCAGTAAGTATAGTGTTTGGATAAATTGGACTGTTTGAGAGTAGTGTGTGTGTGTGTGTGTGTGTGTGTTGTGTGTGTGTGTGTGTGTGTGTGTGTGTGTGTTTACATATGACCTGCAACATATGGGAGATAATTGGGAAAAATTTGCTAGCCCTTTCTAAGTAATGTCACATTTTGGAACATTTTTAACCTACTAGATTTAGAAAATTTGTTCATAGTTTTAGATAAGTTTAGAAATGTATAAACCTATCTCATGTTCTTTTATTTGTTTTTGATTCATAATTCTAATTACATAAACAGGATAGGATTAGATAGTGCTTAATATTTTTCATGAGGCTTACTGTTATATAAGACTTGTGAAGACTATTAATCAGCGGGGTGTTTTTTTCTTTTTTTGATATATTATTATTTTATTAGTCATATGGATTCAGCTTAATATTGTATTCAAGATTTGGTATGCATGGATGAAACTCATTTATTTCCATTTTTGAGTGTTATATTGATAGACTTTGGTACTGAGATTCTGGTAGCTTACTCAAACAATTGGAATAGATTTCTTTTTTTTTTTTGAAGCAGTATCACATTTTATTAAAATTTAATATTATTTTTTCTTACATCAGTTTATTTGTTGTTTTATTTGCTTTTTAAAATTCTTTTAGGTTTGTAATTATTTTTGCTAAGTTTGTTGAGATAAAATTAGTATTTGTATACATCATACCTTGATTTTTTTTACCGATTTATTTATCCTATATGTTTTGATGTGTACAAGTTATACATGTATAAAGACATCACATGGTACCTCATAAATATGTATACTTTTTATGTTCTTAAACATTTTTATTCTGAAATAATTAGTTTGGCATGGTGCTGCATGCCTATAATCCCAGCAACTTGGGAGCCTGAGGCAGGAGGATCCTGAGTTCAAAGCCAGCTTCAGCAATTTAGTGAGGCCCTAAGCATCTTAGCAAGACCCTGTTTCAAAATAAAGCATAAAAAGGACAGGGGATGTGGCTCAGTGGTAAAGTTCCCCTAGGATCAATCCTTGCTACCAAAAACAAACAAACAAACAAAACAAAAACAACAACAACAACAACAAAACAGGAATGTAACTAGGGAAAGGACCTAACTGTGAAGAGCCTTGGTCTCAGGTATGTGGACACTAGTGGAGCCCAGGGGACAGAAAGAGTCTTTTGGGTCCAGAGTTGGGAATGTTCCTGAAGGAGGCAGCAGATAACTTGGACTCACATTTGTTCCATTTGTTCATTGTCTACTCAGCCTTTCTCATAATATCTCCTATGGACAAGGGAAACTGCCATATTCTCAGCATGTTCCACCTTTTCCCCACTCAGAGTTCTCGGTGCAGAGCAGGCAAGGCACAAAGAGATGACTGCTGAAGCCTCCAGTCAACTCGGATTGGCCTGAGTTGAGGCCTTCCTGTTTGTGTGATTGGTTCTTCCGAAATTAAAGGAGACCCTCCTTTCTTTCTTTCTTTGTACTGGGGAATAAACTCAGAGGTGTTTCCACACTGAGCTACATCCCCAGTCCTTATTCTACTTTTTATTTTGAGACAGGATCTCACTAAAATTTCCCAGGTTGGCCTTGAACTTGGGATCATCCTTCAGAGTAGCTGAGATTACATCAGCTACTGCATCACCATGCCCAGTGTAAAAAAGTATATATTTTTTTCTTTTACTTTGTTCTTTTTAGTTATACATGACTGTGGAATGAATTTTGACATAATCATACAAACATGGAGTACAACTTCCCATTCTTGTGGTTGTGCAACTTGATTTTTAAAAGCTGTTGTTGTTATTTCTACAGAGTTCAATTGATGAAAAAGAAGAACAAGAATTGTGCTTATATCAGTGGAAAGTATATTTATCCTGAAAACTGTTCATGTAGGAAAATTTACATATGTGAGTTTAATATACAGCAACATCTGCTTTACTAATACAATATTATTAAATCTTAATAAAATATTTACAAAATACATTGGTTACTTGTTGACTTTATAATTTTTAAAATAAATTATGGCTGACAAATTTTATGCACTCTGAAGATTTTAGTTAAATTTTTAGCTTTTTAAATTGTACTGGGGTTGAGGAGAATTTAAACATCTTGGTGTTAATTATCCTATCACAATTCATGTTGATACTAATTAATTATCAAATAGCAACTGTACATTAATCAACTTTGAAAATCCAAGGAATATGATGAGAAGAAATATTTTTGTATCTTTTAGTTTTTTTTTTTTTTAATTTTAAGAGACAAGGTCTTTTATGTTCGTCATTCCATCCTCTTGGCTCAGTTTCCCTAGTAGCTAGAACTATAGGCACATACCACTATGCCCAGCTAAACTTAAGGTTTTTGACATGAGATGGATACCTTTTGAGATTGTTCAAGAGATTTAATCAGGTACTACTGAAAGCATTGAGAACATGTATAATTGAAAAACAAGAAATAAAAAATACAATTTAAGGTTAAAGAAGTCAATAAACTCAAACGACCTGAAGTGGTAAGCTATTACTATTGCTAAAGAGCAGCTACTATAAATCACTTCAAAAATTTAAAAGCAAATAGTAAATCTTACAGAGAAAATAAAACCATGAGAGAAACCAAAATAAAATGCTAGAACTAAGAGATTAGTAAATAAAATGAAAATTTTAAATATTTTACATATTTAAATGAATAGAGGCTAAATTTTTCAAATTGCAGTTCAAAGAATATAATTTACATAGAAACATAAGATGCTTGGCAATTCTCAGGAACTTAAAAAATGGAAAACCACAACTAGGGACATCATCATCAAGGTAATAAAAATTAAAAATGAAGAAAATATATTGAATACTGTCATAGAAAAATCAAATTCAATGAAATAATGATATAGGAAATTGACTTTTTTAAAAATCAGAAACAGTGGAGATGGATAGGCACTAGAACATCTCTAAAGGTAAAAACAAAGTCTCAAAAACCTACCAAGCCTTCTGATTTCTGGTCCAACCTTGTTGAGAGCCGCAGCTGAAGTAGCCCAGCAAACTTCCAGCTGATTGGCTCCTCTGGGGTGACGCTCATTGGGCTGTTTCCCTGCCCTTTCAGACCACGGAGCTGCTCATTGGGGGACTCTTTTGGCTCCGCCAACGGTGACCCAGCCAATCTGCCTCAAGAGCGGGAAAATTGAAAATGACCTAAAGATTCTGGTTGAGAGTGCTTGCAGGAAGTGCCCGTAGTGGCAGTTGAGCTCTTGGGGAAGCTGGTGCAGCATGCATGCTAAAAATAAAGTTTATTCTTGCTTGACAAGTGGCTCCTGAATTGTACCCAGCCAGACTGCAGCATTTGGTGGCCCATACGGAGAACGAACCCTTGACCTTGGTGTTATCAGCACCAAGCTCTGATGAATCCAAATTTAAAAAGTTTAGAGTAAAAAGAGTTATTTTAAGTTTATCTTTGGGGGATATATACCCCTTCCCAATTCCCTCTTTTTGCTTTAATAAGTACATTTTAATAGTTTGATGAGCTCTTTCAACTATGCCTTGTCCCTGTGGATTGTATGGGATTCCTGTTATATGAGTAATGTCAAATGATGAGCAAAATTGTTTAAAAGAGGTAGAAGTATAACCAGGGGCAGTATCTGTTTTTAACTGTTTTGGAACACCCACAGTGGCAAAATTTTGTAAACAATGAGATATAATATCTTTAGTTTTTTCTCCGGCATGAAAGGAGCCCATCTAAAATCTGGAAGAAGTATCAACTGTAACATGCAAATATTTTAATTTTCCAAATTCTGGCAAGTGTGTGACATCCATCTGCCAAATATGGTTATGTATCAGTCCTCTAGGATTGACTCCAAGATTAACTTGTGGTGCCGCAGTCCGGTTGCACTAGAATAACCGAGGGGTGACGAGGAACTTGTGTAGATTGATACAGCAGGAGTGGGAACTGTTTACTGTAGGACCGGAGGGGTATATATACATTACACACAGCTTATCTTAATTAACATAAACTAGATACAGCAGTCAACCAATAAGGAATCTCCACATTTAATGGCTTGCTGGCGTTACTTCACAAACCACTCCCTCTGAAAATGCCAGGTGCCATCTTGACTTGTTTACAGACTCTAACATTGTGGTAAAAAGGTCACAGAATTTTGACATTGTTTTATTATTTGTCTAGCTTGTTCCTTAGTTATTTTAAAACACTTTTGTAAAGTATTAGCATTGACATGGAACCATTTATGAAGATTTGTAGCTTCTTCTAGTGTAGAGAAAATATGTATGTCATGTGTAGTTTTATCTGCTATATCATTGCTCAAACTAAGGGCTCCAGGCAATCCTGTATGTGCCCTGATATGTCCTATAAAGAATGGATCTTTTCTGTCCCAGAATAGACTTTGTATAGTGGTAATCAAAGAGAAAACAGTAGAGGAAGGAGAAATCCTACCAGTGTCTTCAAGGGATACTATAGCATTAACTATATACTGACTATCATAAAATAAATTAAATACAGAATCTTTAAACATCACAAAAGCTTGTAATACTGCATTAAGCTCTACCTTTTGAGCTGATTGTTTGGGTACTAAAAATCTAAAAGTTTGATCAGGGTTACTGCTGCTGTACCATTATTTGACCCATCAGTGAATATATTTGGAGCACTCATGATAGGTGTTTTTCTTGTCATTTTTGGAAAAATTACAGGATGCAAAGACCAAAAAGACAATAAAGAATTAGATGGTAAGTGGTTATCAAATGAAACATTAGATTTGCACATGACTATTGCCCAAGTATTTAACTCAAACTTAAATACTTAGCTAACTCATCAATTTGATCCATAGTATATGGAGTAATAATTTTATTGGGAGAAATTCCAAACACTCCATTTGCTGCTTTTATTCCTTTGAGTATTAATTGTCCTACAGCCTCAGGATACCTAGTAAGAATAGTGTTAGGAGAATAAGATAAATGTATCTATGATAATTGACCTTCTTGCCAAAATACTCCTGTAGAAATATTTTTGTTGGTAGTACAATAAATAATAAAGGCAAACTTATATCAGTTCTATCCAAATGCATATTTTCCATATATGTTTCAATGATTGCCCACGCGACACAGCCAATCTGCCTCAAGAGTGGGAAAATTGAAAATGACCTAAAGGTTCCGGTTGAGAGTGCTCACTGGAGTGCCAGTGGTGGCGTGGTTGAGCTCTCGGGGAATTCCTGGAGAGCTGCGTACTAACAATAAAGTTAGTAGTGCCCTGCGTACTAACAATAAAGTTTGTTCCTGCTTGACAAGTGGCTGTGAATTGTGCCTAGCCAGACTGTGGCACAACCTGTAAGGTAGTTAGAATTTGTCATTACCATTCTGATGAGAAGAAAAACCTGAAGGGAGTGTCAATCAACAACTTTCCTTAGTTTCTCCAGAAAACTGATCTCACAGAGCTAACCACAATTAGAGAGAAAGACACACGGACATTGCAAATCACATCTTATTGGAGTAGAAGTCTAGAAGAATATCACTGAGTGGTAGGATTGAATGTTTATGTTCCCCTCAAATTCACAGGTTGAAATCCTAATCCCAGTGTAATAATTAATTAGGTCATGAGGGTGGAGCCTTATTAATGAAATTAATGCCCTTTGTAAGAGAGATCCCAGAAAACTCTCTGACCCTTTTCCTGCTATGTCAGGATAGAAGAAGTCAGCTCTGCAGCCCAGAGGAGGCCCGTTATTAGCAAGTAGCCAGCCAGAAAATGGCATCATAATCTCAGACTTAGAGCATTCACAACTGTGAGAAAGACATTTTGGTTGTTGAGGAACTACCTGGTTTATAGCATTTTGTCCCTGGGTTAGGAAAACAGTTATTGATGTAATGTTACACACTCAATGTGGACAAGCATTTGACTGAAAACTCAGGGGGACCCAGTCTCAATGGCTGCCCACATTTTGATGTATTTTACCTCCAGGATTCCTGTTCTTACAGTGAAGGTTGGAGAATAAACCTTGTGGTACATCTGGCACAGAGGGAAAATTCACTATTTTGAGAAGCATTCAGAGCATTCTGTTTTTTTGTAACAAGTCCTGCTGTCAACAGAAACTATTTTACAAAATCTAATGGTGTGTTTTTAACAGCACATAACCAACCTGGGGAAGGAGTAAGATCAAAGTTCAGCCTGTCTGGTCTTTCAGGAACCAGAAATAGCAGAAATGTTGGAATTATGAGATTAGGAATTCTGATCCTATGTAAATAGAAGAAGAAGAGGCAACATACAAGAATTATTGGGCAAAGTAAACAGAGGATGTAAACCATAAGAATCAGAAAAAAATTCTGGAAATAAAAAAATATTGTACCAAAAAGAAGAATGCCTATAATAGTCCAATAGACTGAAAATGGCTGAGAACAGAATATGTGAGAAGGAATAAGGGTAAACAGAAACTTCTGAAAAGAAAATGTTGAAAGAAGAGAAGAATGAAAAAGTTGAAAGAGAATATCTGAAAGTTGTGACATAATTACAAAAGATATGTGCATAATGGGGACTCCTGAAAGAGAAGGGAAAGGAACCAAAGAGGTAATAGTAACTGTTTTCTGAGGTAATAGTGACTGTTTTCCAAATTAAATATATGTATCAGTCCACAGATCTAGGAAGGTCTGAGAATACCTAGCATGATAAAGAAAGAAGCAGGTAAAGAAAGAAAGAGCATAACTCCAACTTTTTAAAAAGAAAAATGAAATGACTAATAAGCCTTTAGCTAGGCTAACTTAGGAAAAAAGAGAATAATTTGTAAAATTAAATAGATTGTCAACTTTTAAATTTGTATACATGCTTGAAGTTTGTCCCATATTTAAATAGTAATAAAATGCAACCAGGTAAATGGATTTAGGAGCACCTGTGGCATTTAAGTTTGAATTTAAATTCATTATAATTAAAGCTATTTAGAAACACAGTTCTCCAGTTGCAT